AAAAGCATCTGAGGATCGAAGTCAGTCAGTCAGTCAATCAGTCAGTCAGTCACTTCACACATACACGCTCGCACGTCGCACGCGCATGGTGACACGCGCGCCGTGACCCATGACCCACGCTTATGCCCCCATTTGGCAGCAAAACCAAGCGGCAAAGTTTTCATTGTTTCCAACACCTCGTGCAAAGCATTGTCCACAATGTGCTTGAGGTCTGCTGTTTGGAAAGCGTTTGGATACAAGCGGTCTCTCTGCTCTGGCTCTGAAGGAACCGCTTCGACTTCGACCTCAGCCTCAGCATCACCTCCACCACCTGCAGCCTCGCCCTCTTCAAAGCGGGGTGGCAAGATAGATACTGCGCTGACACTGACGCCCTCCTGCAACATAGGCGCAGAAGGTCCCGCCTCCAATTGCTCAAGGGAATTTCCGCCTGCCTCTAAGCAAGCAGCTGTTTCCTGCAAAATCTCGGAGACATCCACTGCAGGAGATGTAGCTATTTGGAATTCAGTGCCCTGATCAGTGCAAAAGGAAATAACCCTGGAGTTGTATTTGTGTAATTGTTCCGCGCTTCCCAATTCCAGGTGGAATGCATGCAACAAAGCGTCAAGTTTGTTGACATATCGAGTAAATCCCTTTCCAAGAGAGACAATAGGGAGAGCACGCTGTGAAACATGAAGCTCCAAATCCAAATCCAAACCCTTTTGTAACTGCGGTTCTTCCTCATCCTCATCGACAAGGGGACAAATAATGTCATCCTGAAAAGATTTGAGGTCCTCCACATACCGTTTGTGAGTCGCTTCTGCTGCTGCGCAAAACTCCTGGATGAGGAACATTTCCTTGCCCTTCTCACTAGCATCACAGCCTAATTTGGGCACGAGATGGCAGTGTGAAACAGAATGACCACGCCACGCCGCCACGCCATCCTATATATATATATATAATATATGCATTCTCCGATTACCCGAAAACCGAATTGCATTGCTGCATAGACGACCCAAAAACCTAGTGCCCTAAAACCGCTCCCTACAAACTACAAACCATTGCCATTGCCCGCAAGAAACTAATCGAGGTCCGCACGTTATCAAATCCTTTTTTTTGCCAGAACTGCCGGCGCCACCACATCAGCAATGCATCCAGCTTGTACCGCGCTTTGGATATGATTGCCCCACCAGGACCACTCCACTTCGTTTCTCCCTGTTTGTCCTGGCTAGGCTAGGCTTGAATAAAAAGAACTAGGCTCTAGACTCTAGACTATACTATATTATAATGCTATAAGGTTTTGGACTCGGCATAGTAGTAGTAGTAGTAGTAGCAGCAGTAGTAGTAGTAGTAGCAGTAGCAGTAGCAGTAGTAGTCGTAGTAGTCAGCAGTCAGCAGTCAGCAGTCAGCAATCAGCAGTCAGCAGTCAGCAGTCAGCAGTCAGCAGTCAGCAGTCAGC